TCTTTACCTCCTGTCAAGTGGTGACCTAAAAAGTTTAATCCAGTTTACATTTTCAAGGTCAAATTGGGTACAATGCTATCTATCTATTTCGGCCTAAGAGAAAAGAAAATTGCTTGCTCTAAGTCTTAGATGTCTGTTTTTGTCCCCGTCCCATCTCTCATCCAGTTGGTTCCTGTAAATGTATTAAAGGTTCACCTGGGGCTTATGTTTCTTTTTTCTGTATTATCTCAAAATTTTAGCTCTTGTTTCAAAACAGGTGCCCACTTGGCTCAATTTTTATATTGAATGCACGCAAAGCAAAATTTTCCAGTTCCCAGCCAAACAAGCAATGAGGCTCTAAACCAGGAATTTACTGATGTTCCCCAAAAATGTGATTCAATGATCAAAACAAAATGCATACATATAATCCCGGCCAATTTTCATACCCCATTCATACACACACACACACTACAGCTAACTATTTTTAACCTATGACTGTGACATGCATATTTTTAAATAATATCATAGTTTTACATAACCATATACCCAAGATCTTTATTATTCAAGGTACATGAAGGTTGTACATTTAATCTTTAGCATGGTTGTAGAAGATATGATTCACAGGGCAGAGTAGAGATAAAAATAAGCATACAGCAGCATGGTGCCGAATCATCAAAACTCAGCATCTTATCAACAAATAGAAGTCATTCTTCTTTATTTCTTGAGCAAAGCAGTTTCATATAAGATAAATAGCTTTCAGTCAGAATAGTCTTACATGCAATATGCATCTTTTTGACATGTATATTCTAGTACTACTTTAGACTATAAGATTAAAATAAGAAAAATCTCGGTGTTGTGTGTTGACAACAAACACTGGTTGAATCTGCATTTTTTCCATTTTTCATCTCCCAGAATTCAGCTCAGTGTATGTATGTTTGTACCTTTCTGGCTATATTATTATAAAATGATCACCTTCTAGTGGCCTTCATGTGCCATTTTCAAAGCTTTGAAACAAAAATAATTTGGGGGATTTGTACATTTTAATATCAAACATTGAAAGTCATGTCGTGCTTTGGAGATAATGTGTTTTGTTATCAGAGATCAGGGCATAGTAGAATGTGTTTCTAATAGATTTAGGAGACTGGGTTCTAGATATGTGACCTTGAGAAAGCCGCTTAGCTACTCTAGTTTTAGTTTCCCCATTTTGCAAAGGAAGAATTTGGGTCAGATGGCTTTTAAAATTACACTTGGCTCTAAAATGATATCTACAAATCATTACTTTTTGTTGTTCTTGTTAACACAGAAAGTAGATGGGTGATGAGGGAGGTGGAATGAAGAATTAAATGGATGCCTGAAGTGGCCCGATCCTTTGGCCCTGCCCCTGTCTTCCCAGGGTAGGTCCCTAATGAATACTGTTTTATGGGTGAAAGCCTTGCTTACCCAGGCTCCCTCACCCCTACCGATTCATGAACTCTACTGTAGTGCAGCCAGAGCTTCCTCCCTGTCAGGAGTCACACTATTGCAAGGATTCTATTCACACTTAAATATTAACTTCCACATTCTGAAATGGAAAGCTGAACTGAAGCTCTTGAGAAAATTGGTGAAGTAGTAGAAAATTTCCATTTCCAGATATTCATTGTTTTTTCATATTTACCAGTTTTCACATTGAAAGAAAGAGCTTGGATTTTTACAGTAGAGTGCCTTTGATTAAAATTGCAGCTCTGCTACATATCAGTTGTTTGACCTCTTTGAAATTAATCTCTGAAATATATTTCATCTGTAAAATAGGCAAAATACCTATGTGAATGGTATTTGTAAAAGAAAAACTATTATTTACAAGAGTTCAAAAATACTCTTCTCCCTCCCTCTACTTCAGCATCAAATTATTTTGGAATGTATTGACAATGATACTGAATATTATCAATTACAAGAAATCAACTGTTTCTTAGCCTAAAAATTGCTTAGTGAGGAGCCATGTTTTGAAATAACAAGATGTGAAAGAAACTGCCTCATTTACCTGAAAGATTGCTGCTCAACTGTAAAGATATTTACACCGAACAGTATTGTTTAGGCTTATCTCTTAAGTAAACTGGCTACTTTCTTCAGTTTGACCTTGTCTGCCTCTGTGGCCCCTTTGCCCTCTATTTTGCATCTCCTAGTCTCCATAACTTCAAAGAATGCATATAAACACCTTGGCCTAAGGGTAAAATCAATTCTGCGGTGTCAAATTAGTTGAAACTAATTTGTGAAAACTCTTTGAAAAGGATGAAGATCTGTGCAAACTCAAGACAGCAAGTAAGAATAAAGTGAGGTACATTTTTTTAAAAAGTAAATTGCTACTAGATAAAAGGCCAATGTGTAATAAGCATGTGCTGTGCAACTATGCCCAGTTTGTGGGGCATATGAGAAAGGATGTAGGAAAGCCCAAGAAGGGACTGTGAAGAGGCTTGAGTCCTCTTTCCTCTCCATCCGGTCTGTAATTTGTAGGAAGTATAGAAAGCGTAGCATAGCATTGCAAATGCTGCTCCCTAGCTCTCCAGTTCACAAGGTGCATGAGCTGGATGAGTTACTTACCTTCCCACTTTCTCATAAAAATGTGGAACAGTATCATCTAGCTCACAGAGTTGTAGAAAGCATTAAAGAATATAATTAATATACAAACCTTGGCTCAAAGTTTTACTCAGAGAACATGTTCAAAAATGTTAGTGAAACATTTGACCCAGGAATTCCACTTCTAGGAATTTACCCTAAGAATACAGCAGTCCAGTTTGCAAAAGACAGATGCACCCCCATGTTTATCACAGCACAATTTACAATAGCCAAGAAATGGAAGCAACCTAAGTGTCCATCAGTAGATGAATGGATAAAGAAGATGTGGTATATATATACACAATGGAATATTATTCAGCTATAAGAAGAAAACAAATCCTACCATTTGCAACAACATGGATGGAGCTAGAGGGTATTATGCTCAGTGAAATAAGCCAGGCGGAGAAAGACAAGTACCAAATGATTTCACTCATATGTGGAGTATTGAGAACAAAGAAAAAACTGAAGGAACAAAACAGCAGCAGAATCACAGAACACAAGAATGGACTAACAGTTACCAAAGGGAAAGGGACTGGGGAGGATGGGTGGGAAGGGAGGGATAAGGGGGGAGGAAAAGAAAGGCGGCATTATGATTAGCATGTATAATGTT